GTGGAATCTTCCGAATATTAACGCCTCATGTTTTCAATTTTGAGAGGGATTCTTTCACAAGAAAATACTCCGATGATCCGCAGAAGCATCACTCAACCTTGGCTCATTCCGAAAAACTTCAAAAAGAGAAGATCATCCAGAGAGAGACCTGCACTCGACGCCGATAATCCGACACTTCCGCTTTCTTATTCACGAGGACCCCATTCTGTTTGTGTGGCCACGGACACCTCTGTCTGCCCGATGCCATCACTGGTTCGATCAGCAGATATGTAATCCACATTCTCTTTACCCCTTTCCGATGTCGTTCATTCTAGCTAGTAATTCTTCTCAAAACCCTCTGCCCCGTCCTCTAATCCCTCGTTGGGTCCATCTTTTCCATCTTCTCGCACGTGAACGCCGCCTCCCGATGACATAATCTACCTATTCCCTCGTTGGTTTCCTCCTCTTCATGCCGACAGACCCTTGGGTATGTCGTCACTATTGATCGATCAGTCATCCCTACTATCACCCCGCGCGATTCTTTTTTTTTTGTGTGTGTGCCATGACAGTGCCACTGCCAATCACTATGTCGTGAATTTTTCCTGGCTGCCTGCGGAACCATCGTTCTGCCAAAGCTGACGTCGTGGTCGAATTCATTTTCTTTCACAAGAAGATGTTGAGGGTCATGAAGAAGAGATACCGAGAAATGTTTGATTCACGAAAAACCAAACAAAAACAAGAATACTAGTTTGCAAGTAACGACGACTAAGGTCCCTGACATTGCTCGAGAGGAATGATGCGCTAGGGATAAACTCTGTCAACTTTGAATCCGGAATCCTGAAAGGAATCAGGGCGTACCCCGTATCACACTACGACTACTAATGGGAAGAGCATGCATTTGATCACCCGGATGGAGGAAGATACCATCGGCCATGCTTGAAGTTGAAGCTGGCATGCGGGCCGCTTAATCCGGTTCTTGTCTTGATATGGACGAGAAACTGGCGTTTCTTTGCTCCGTGCTCCGTGGTTCGCCTGGCCCCTTACCGTCGATCCTACGGACAAGACCGCATTTGCTGATACCAAGATTTAGATTTGGTGTGTCCACAACTGCCTAGTAGGTCAGTGGTATGATGGGACAACGCTGCATGCGGTAGCTTCGTGGGTGATAGAAAGCATCTTCTTTTTATTTTTCACCAGGCTGCAGAGAAATGTTCGTATCCTGCACGGCGCTTGGAGATAAGAAATGAAGTGTAGCTTCTGTCATCGCAGGACAAACAACCAGGCCCAGGGGCGATGTGATATATCTTTTCCAGAGAGATTTCAGTAGTGTCGATGAATAGGCATGCTTTACTTAGATCAAGGGCGCCACAGGAGAACAAGGGTCAACTAGTTTTGGTCTGGCAAGCAAGAACGGCAAACAAAAAAATCAAGAGTGCCTATTATGATGAAACCATTCATCGTGCACGTGAGAGGGCGGAGAAACAAAAGTCATCCGGGAAAGATCAATATATCTTGTGGGACTCCATGACTTTCAGCGAGCAGGACACCACCATATTTTGGATGGTACCGCATGTCCCCCAGATCCAGATTTGTTTCCATCTGAACAGCAATGTTCACTGTTCACAAGAAAACACTTGAACATCAGAATGTCTAGCAAAAAGGGAGCAGCCTTATCTAAAAAATGGATGAATCACTAGTCTCGAAAGTTTCCAGCTGGGAGTCGAACCCAGCTTTCGTGCGAAACGAAGTATTTGCACATGACAGTATCTAATGTGCTACCGGAAACTGTTACTGTTCTAGTCACTACTAACTAGATAAGCATGTATTGAACATTGATGGATGAGTACAAGACCGGCGATCAAATCAAATTTCACAACGCACTGCCAACGACAATGCACGGTCAATGTGCCTGTTGGTAGGCAGCTCGTAATTTGTTCCTCGCTACTTAAAAAAAGACTGGTCTCCACTGTACCTGAACTTTACCGCACTGACGACAATCATTGAGTTTCAGCTTCGGGCTCCACTAAATTAACGTTCCAAGCCTTCTGACTGGACTTCTCTGCTTGATTCATTCTACGGCTCTACAGCTTTTATGGACCTGGAAACGGTTCTCCTTCTGTTCCTTACACTGTGCTCTTATACACGGCTTTTGTTCCGACCTCTCCGTAAAGACCCCGCTCCTCGAATTTGTCGCTGCCTATCAGCCCACACGCTCCAAATGCACATGTGTCCATTGAGTCTATTCTCCTTTGCGACGCGTTGCCGCTGTTTGTATTTTGCGTCGGTGTTAGCCTTGGGAAATATTTCTATGATTGCTGTGTCCGAGTTCTTTCATTCCGAGTCTTCTGTCTGATTCATTCGACGACTCCACAGCCTTTTTGGACCTGGAAACGTCCTCCTTCTGTTCCTTGCCCTGTACTCTTTGGTTCAGGCATTTCGAACTCTCCGTAAAAAGACTCCGCTGGTCCAAAAGCACACGGGTCTATTGAGTCGCATTATGGGATCCTTGTACTTAGCCCAAACACAGCTTGTGTGAGTATCTTCGCAGTAATAAACTAAACTAAAACACCCAAAGACAAATTTCCGTGGTTAGGAGGAGGAGTCGAACCTATCTTCCACGCTCGGATTTTCTCCAGAAATTGACTGACGATGAGCCCGTGTGCTATGCTACCCAGAAAATCCCAAAAGTCAGAAAGAATGGTCAAGTCTTATCGCCAGCCACGAAAACCCGGAAATCCATAATCGCCATCATCGAGAGCTGGGATCCGCAAATCTGCATACTCGACTCGCCGTGCGTCATACGTCAAGAAGCAACGTGTGCATGTGGGAAGTTTGCTGCAGGGATTTGTGCTCCTGGGGTTCAGCACTGCGACGTAACAAAGGCCCACTTTTGATGGTGATGGTTGTATTAGCGTTCCCGCAGCGTATCGTACTCCGAGCAACGTATGGCTCTTTGTGGTCCCTCCTCTCACGTGCTAGGACCGACTAAGCTCAAAAACCCGGAATCACCAACTGGTATAGTATTTGGTTAGGGGTCGAAATCCAAATCCAAATCGTTAATCAAGCTTTCCTCCAAGGATGGTTAAACTATTATTGGCTAAAAAAAAAACCAGGACAGGGCGCGATAATGGGTTCCCGTGCCAATGACAATTTGATGGTTTCTTGTCTACCTGCCTCTTCATTTACTCATTTATCCAATCGACGGCATATAAGTGAGGCTCGAAAAAAAAGAATTTGACGTCGTTTCCGCCAGATTGCGAATCGCTCCAGGGTTGGGATCGCCGCGATAGACTTGTCTTTCCCTTCCCCTTCTGCTCATCAATCCGAAAAAAAAAATTGCATTCTTGCGTTGTTGTTCCTAACCCGCCCCGCTGCATTTTAATGAAGGTCTTTCAATCGCAATATATCACCAACCCAACACCATTCTAACGGATGATCGATAATGGACGAAATATGAAAACTACCTACAGAATGGGGAACAATGTGATAATCTCTAGCTTTGGGTGGGAGTCCTGTGGCGTCAATGATAGGCGCAGAGATTACAATGCAATTGTCCCCCAACAATGTCGACTATTGTTGTACGCAACCGGGCGACAATGAGAATTCTTGCATTGTTCCTACCCGCGGCCGCCCCGCTGCATTTCAATGACGGCAGAATCCTTCAATCGCCCATTACCGACCTAACGATTGCATCCATAGAAGCAAAGTTTTGATCGATCGATAAGTTGAAAGTAGGACGGAGCTCGAAAAAATATGTGACGTCTTTTCCGAATCCTTTTCCTGGGCTCCTGGGTTCGGAGAATGATAATGGTGTTTTTGTGGGGATCGAGTACGCTGATAGACTTGCTCGTTAAATCCTTAAAATTACTTACTCTCGAACTGAGCTTAGCCTAGTCGTTAATATTCGCGACCCTGCATATATGTCCGGGGTCCGCTCTATCCACGAGGATTTATGCGTCATTCCGGGGATACGAAGTTGGAAAGATGCAAAAAAACTTTTTGGAATCAGAAGGATTTAGACTGAACCCGGGTTTCGGTAGCTCGCTATATTATAACTTTGAGAACCTTGGGGATGATATGATAACTTCCCGCCAGGTGTTGATCACTTATTTCCGAGATTGGATTGGAATGATGGATGAGAATCGTTGCCAGTGATGACTCATACTTTCACACCGACTCATTCTGGACGATGCCCCCTCCCCCTTACCCAGACTCGAACTTCCCGGTAACTAGAACTTCCCTAGTTCTAGCCGGAGGCAAAACACCCGCGTGGCGCCACCATAATGTCTACCCTGTACGGGTCGTATGATCTGTGTGAGTAGAGGGATGTATGATATCATTCATCTGACCTCTGTCCAAAGGGGGGATAAGAAGCTTGAATTTATTCGAAGGCCTTGAGGTGATAACTCCGGGGCGTGGTGGGAAGCGGGTTTAATGGGTTTTTAAATTAATTTTCGTCGTACGCCGACTGTTAGGTAGAACGAAGGTAGGAGAGGTAGTAACCGCTACCCAATACATAGTTTACAACTGGACGAGACCGCCACTTGGTATCACGCGGCCCATACTCATTCACATCAACGTTTGATAGAGTTCTGGGACACACGGAGGAAGTTGGGTAAGGGGAGAAAAAAGTACAACGCCACGGGATTTGATTCGAGGGTGGGCATGAGGTGAATTGAAATTGGGAATGATGGATGGGGATAAGGTGGGATTTGGATTTGGGAGATACTCTCTCCGTGCATGGCTGGGCAGTGCGATGCGATGAATGATGATCAGTGCATTTTGGTTCCGCGGAAGTATATCTAGGGAAGGGAGGGGAAAAGTACAAGGGGGAAAAGCCCAGGCAAGGGAAGAGAATACAAGAGAAAAAAAGGACGATTACGTTTTACATAATTCTCACCGGGGCCGGAGATCCGAATGCACGTTCACGGAAGCTTTCTTAATCGCAGCGTTTTCATTCAAATGGGGGAGATCTAATCATTCCTCCTCTCCCCCATTCACCCACTCACACCGTCAGCGACACCCCCCTCCTTATCCCTCCCTCCAACTCGCGATGCCTAAAACACTCTCCGGCGACATGGGCACCCAGATTGTCTGGACGCTTCCCTGCTCTCCGTCTTCGCACGTACACACTCCCGCCCAGTCTCCCCGGCACAGCAAAAAGAAACCCCCATCGTACATCCCGCGCCCGCCCAATGCCTTTATTCTCTTCCGATCCTCGTTCATCAAATCCCAGCACGTCTCCACTGATGTCGAGACGAACCACTCGACGCTATCCAAGATCATCGGCATGACATGGCAGGGGCTCCCAGAAGGCGAGAGGCAGGTGTGGCATGACAAGGCGCGTGCGGCGCTCGATGAGCACAGGCAGCGGTTCCCTGGGTATGCGTTCCGGCCGGGAAAGGAGGGCGGAGAGACGAAAGCAAAGGCACGGAGGAAGGTGCGGGAAGTAGAGCCGAAGGATACGAAGCGGTGTGCCAAGATTGCAGAGCTGCTCGTAGAGGGATTGAAGGGCGCCCAGCTGGACAAGGCGATCAAGGAGTTTGACAAGACGCACGTCCCGGAGATCATCACACGCTTTGAGGTGCCGATTACGGAGAGCGCATTCAGGCAGCAGACGGGCAAGGAGGAAAGGCGGAGAAAGATTTCTTCTGGGGTATGTTTTCTGTGTTGTGTTTGCCGATTTTTTTTTTCCTGATGGTTTGCCTAGAAACGTGAGCGATCGACGCCCCCGCCTCTGCCTCCCCTTGTCATTCCTGAACCCGTTGCGCCTATCATGCCCGAGGCCGAGGCGCCAGTCATCGATCTCGACGCAGCGTTCCTCAACGCGCTCTGCACCGACAATACCCCGCCGTACTATCCTGCGTCACCGAACCCGTACGACTGTTTCTCTCCCACCCCGTCGGATGACTTCTCCTCATTCCTCTACCCCTCGCCTGCCGACACCTATTCCAGTTGCTACGACTATGGCGCCACTCCATGCACTTCTCCCGTCGAGTACGCCTCCCCGGCTTCGTTCTTCCCTCAAGCGAGTCCCGTGCCGGTCGACAACACCATCGACTACTATCTCTCAAACAACCTCCCCAACGAGTATCTCACCGATCTGATGGATTTCAGTTTCCCACAGCAGGGTATGGCGCAATGGGAGGGATTCGCGCTGGCGTAGAGTTCTCTTTTTTTATCTTTATTATTCATTCATTGTATATAACTTTCCCTCTCCCCACCCCCCCCTCATTTATCCAGCTATCTGTGTTGCGTATTTTTCTTGGTTATTTCAGTGGTTATCCCCACAATGTATCATACACGGAAGGATCCTGTGTTGTATCTATCGGATTTTCATGTAGTTGGTAAAGTAGTATTAGGACTAGAATACGAACCGACGGGAAAAAGAATGAAATGAAATCGAAAAAAGAATTCATATTGCGGTCATAGTATGGGGAAGAAGACAAAGGAGAAGGAAAACGTCACTGGCGTTTCCGCGTATCGCGTATCGTTAACTCTATTCTACGCATAATAACGATTCCCCAGGCAGTAACTTGAAGAGAATTCACGACAGACAGTGGCATAGTGACTGGCGGTGGCGAATGAATGCACTCAGGCTGTCATGGCCACACACAAAAAAGATGACTTGATCGATCGATTTGGTACTGACGACGTAACCCGAGGGTATGTCGGACGGACTCAGCGAGGGAATAGACAAGACACCGGGCTGGAACAATAGCATAGAAGACGGGGCGGAGGGTGAGATCGATTTAATAGTGACGACATAACCCGAGGGCATGTCGGGCGGACGGACCCAGCGAGGGAATAGACAGGACTCAGGGCTGGAACAATAACGTAGAAGAACGGGGCAGAGGGTTGTGCGAAGACGAAATACGACATCGGGACGGTCAAATGAGAGACACGGGAAGGTGGCAGGGCCGCACAGGAAGAAGCATCTATGGCGGGACCGTAAGCGTCGGAGGAGAAGTCTTGAGTAAAAGTAACGACATGGCAGCGTCCAAGTCTTTTTTCTTGATCTTCTCTTTTTCGAACATGGGCCCACGGACGAGAGAAAAAACCTCCCAATTATTGAAAAACACGAGGTTCCCTAATATTCCGAAGATTCCCACGTAATTACACGGGGAAGCAATTTCCTCGCAGCGCACCGATAATTAAGAGGCGATACCTCGGTGAACCCATGAGACTTCAAGTGGCGGTGGCGGAGATTCGTGGATACCACCCGAATCCTGAACAAGGGAGGCCCCCGAACGACGGTATTAACTAACGTAACTCATGTGCTGTTGGAGTTCCGAGTGATGGTGAAGCATGTGGGTTATCAAAAGACGTACACATAGGATATAACATGTTATTCGAGCGTAGTGATTGGCAGCCTGCGTTGATTGATTTCAAGGTTGGAGCGGAGGGATCAAAATTCTTGAATCAAAAAAAAGTATAAGAACCGAGTCTCCTCGCCGAGGAAACTTGAAATCGACGTCGGACTACAGAGAACGGGTTGCCAGGTCCGATAACTTTTGCATGCTGGGAATCGGAAGTTGGTTGAGAGTACAGAAAAGAAGAGCACGCCGCTAAAGACTGAGTATTAATAATAAAAAAACAAGCATCGAAGTGTGTGCACGTGAGAACGAGAGCATGGACCAACTAGAACTAGCTCATCGCTCGATCGTTTTGGGAAGAATGGTCATGGCGAGTACATTCATTCCCGCTGACAAGACAGGATACCCTCCTCAGAGGTCCGATAAGCTAGGGGATGACGCCGTGGGGTGAATCTACGAGAAACGCCTGAGTGGAAGACATTGAAGTCCACGAGAGAGATCAAAGAAAGAAGGGATATGAAAGTTCGAATGTGGAGAAAACATCGTGTTGGGACCGAGAGCATGTGTTGATTCCCAGCCCAGCATCGAGCTTCATTCTTATAGCTCGTACATCCCCATTCTGAGACTCGACGGTATTGAACCTAAGAACACAGGGCGAGGAACCGTTGCCAAGGATGAAGAAGCCTTGAGTGGAGGGACAAGCTCGTCGGAAACTGGATGTGCGGAGCGAAGGGAAACATCATCTCGATTGAGGGCCTGCAGCCAAGTTCCTGTGGATCTAGGTCACGAGAATCCCCGATTGGATGGTCGAGTGGAGGAGGAATCAGTAAGGGTGACCAATGCCGCGTGGCCAGATAAATACAACAGAAGAATCCGTGCGAACAAATGTAAATTCGAGTGAGTAATCTGTGTGAATAAGAAAAAGGTGATGGTATTCATGGTCTGGACGAATAAGGGAATGAGTCACCCACTTGCGAGAACAGAAAGGAAAGTACGCGGATTTGGGATATATCAACCAGACGACCTGTGGTCCAGTCTCATATCACGAAGTAGGGTTTTCTCAGCTCCAAAGTTTTGGGCCCCGGACATATATGCAGGGCCGCGTCCGTCTATATTAATGCCTGCTCTCACGCAAGATTTAAACAGCTTCGGAGTGACGAGCAAGCCTAATGCCAATGCGTAGTAACTTGATTCCACCTACCGGCCCGGGGAAGTAGAGTAGAAGGGGAGTCGCAGTCGCCTTCTGGTTATGTACACACGCCTGAGACCGAGCACCGTACTACTTCAAGCTTTCCATGTTGGTCGTCATTGATATAAGCGGGACGAGTAGAAAGGCACGACGAGAAATAACAACTACGCTGAAGATTCACAGCGCCGTGGTCAGAATAGGTGACAGGGGAGGGGTTTGTTAAAAGAAATTGTAATCTCTGGTAGTATACCGGTTAATACACGCGTCTGTCATTCGACATGCATGAATAGACGTGCGAAAGCTGGGTTCAACTTCCAGCCAGAGAATCTTGATGTGATGTCAATTTTTACCATTTTGCATCAAGCTTGATTTCAATTTTATTCCTTTCCCCTCCCCACATCGGCTTTTTTTGCTATTGGGGAGAAACAACACTGTAGATGTGCAAAGAGGATTCTCCCACACACTGATTAGAATAATACCATAGATCTAAGGCTGTACTGGGAGAGGTGTCTGCTGATGATAGGAAAAACAAATGAAGAGGCTGAAATGTAGAGTGAATAGCAGACTCTGGGACAATATGAAGGTTAGAACATTGATGATATGTGATCTTTGAGCAATAATTAATCAGATGTAGTCCTGCTGAAATTTTGTTCACAGAGATCAAAATAAGAATTCCAGCTGTGTTAGTTCAAGCAGGAGAGATGGGAGTCAAACTGATTAAATGAAAGAGACTCAGTAGTAGTGAATGAATACTATACTGGGGTACAAAGATATGATCAGCAGTAGTAGAGAGATGAAAGTGATACATGTGCTATATGTAGGTTGGTCAATTGGCTATCAAAAGAGAGCATAACATGAATTCAAGCCTAGCTAAAGATAATCTTCAAGTATCATGATTTCAGGTTTTAAGAAATTCTGTCACAACTTCTGAACTCACAGGTGTGGCTGGACAGTCCTAGTATTCTTTTACTGCATGTGAGATCAGAGAGAGATGGAGTGGAGTCTTTCATAGAGAGATCAAAATTCCTGAAAGAAAGAGCAATAGGTTGCCAGGTACAATAAGATCAGAGCTGCATGGTATCTTCTATATAGAAGCTGAATTGGAATCTAGGAGGGGCAGGGAGAAAATTAATTTAGAGCTCAAAGTTCAAAGATTTCAAGACTAGAAGGGACAGGGCATGTAGCAGCTAATCAAACATGCATCTTCTAGATCTCTCATAGATAAATAGATGCACTTATCCATCAATCACATCTATTTATGGTTGCATGAAACTTTGTTATAAAAAAAGACATTGTCTCAGAGCAAATGACTAGGAGAATATAATCATACAATCAAGTTTGTATAAGTATAGGCCTATATCAGTTGGAATCCTCAATTGAATGGTCAATTCTTACTGTGCAGTTAGTGGAGAAGGAGGGAAAGAAATTGATGAAATAGTAGAGCCATGTTCAAGTATAAAAACAAGCTAATAGAACTGAAGAAGAGTGCAGTGAGTTTTCAGAGAAGATCTGATGGGTTCATGCATATAAATAGATGCAAATTCAAGAGCATAATCTGAAAAAGACAGATAAAACTTTTTTTGCATGAATGTGAGAGATAAATACTCTGAAATTCAGTAACATCATTATTACAGTATCCATAGAAAGTAAAGTATGCAGATTCGTGATGCTACCTCTTGATCTAGAAATTGATAATAGTGGTGATGTGCTTGGTAATAGCTCTTTGCACTATCACCAATATGGTTGAGTTTAGATGTTTTGAGTATGACAGAAGCACTCTGCAGACTTGAATAAATCAAGAAAGATTATACAAAGACAGTTTATTCAATGCTAGTTTGCTTTCTAAGATGCAATACTCACAAGAGCAGTGTAGCTAAGACACAATATATGAATATGATGTGGACTTGAAATTATAAGCTACTTTGCTCTGTCAGACCCACTTGACACATAATAAACTGATGCTGTATTGAGTTAATATAGTTATGTCAGAGTTCACTATATGCACTTGGATCAGTGTGATCAAGGCTTCACAGAGTAAGCTCAAGAGAGATGAGTGGTATAAAATAAACTTTAGCTGAAAGCTAGAGTATTACAGCAAGAGCTAGCCTACTTATACACATGCCTGTAAAGATAAATATAACTTCTACTTTATTATAGCCTCCTATGTTATAACACTATAGTGTCTGGTTGTTGGATATGAAACAAATGAGTATTGTCTGTTGTTGAGGCATTCATTGTGTCATATCACAGTTCATCTATTGTATTCATACCTGTCACATGGCAATCATCTCACAATCCTAAGTGCCCTATGATAAGATAGATACCAGATAAGATAAGATACAATAAGATAAGAAAAAGAGAAAAAATCATAATATGCTCAGTCTAACTTAGAATACTCTGAAACCTAATAAACTCTGAAATCCAATACTAAGTCTCTCAAGCACTTAGGCTTGACTAGCTGCACTCATAGCTAACTAGTGGTCCTCAAAACTGAAGAACTTGTATTTTGATGCTGAAACCTTTATTAAGCAGAAATCCAAATTATGCTGAAACCAAAAGTTCAATTAAGATTTCAATTCTATTTGATACAAGATGACTTAGCAGTAAAAGCTACTTAAGTTGACATTAGACACAAAGCCTTTGATCCAGAGACTAACTTCAATAAGCTAGAAGGATGTAATGAGCATGCCACATATCTCTGATTCCAATCCAACTTTTATCATTCAACTCCAAATTTGATTGGACTCTCTCAGACTCTGTTTTTTGGCTTTTAGTTTATAGTCTATTTCATATTTCAGACTTATCATTTCTTCTCATTGTATTTGGTCAGGATGTTGTTGTAACCTGATATGATAGTATTCTTAATGTTGAGGTGAACCATGACCTCCATCTGTTCCAGCATTGCTGACTGGTCCTTTAGCTTTTTGGTCTGATAGGCCAATTTCATGAACTTTCAGAAGAATACCTTGGCATCCTAACAGTTAGACTGCCTGAGCACCCTCCACTTGATCTAGTAGAGCTTCATCTCTGTGTTCTTCTTAAATCAGCCAGTTACTGTGATCTTAAAGTCTGAGTATAATAGATATCACTATCAACTGGTGATTCATAGAGGCCTAGCATCTCAGTGTGCATCTTTCTCTTTTTTGCCTTGATGGTCTCCTCTAAGTGCATGTGTATCTATATCTCATCTATAATAAATATTTGATTTTATTGCTGCATGCTAATATACTGCTCTCTCTTCTCAGAGGCCATCTACTGTGCATCTACTATCTGACTACTATGCATCATTGATAGTGCACTCTCAAGTTTAAGAGCCACTTCTCATTGCCACTCACCAACCTGCTTATACCCTCTTTTCAGAACATAGAGGTTGTTAATCATTGTCCTGAAAAAGTGAGACTTAGTTCTCTTGCAGCTGTATGCATTGAGGCAGTGGATGAGCTTATTGATGATATTCTGCTCTTGGATCTTAGGGTGAGAGAAAAAGGCCATTTCTTTAATGGAAACAGTATTAGAGGTTGGATTTAGTAGTCAGATGTCAGGCAACAACCAAATAATCACAAATAAAATGCACTGCAACAGCCAGAGTCCAACACTAACTGAAGGTAAAGCAGAAGGATGAGGGTAATAATGTTTAGGATGATGATAAGGGGAGGGAGGTATAGAGGTTGATAGACTATAACTGCCAGTGTTAGTACTGAAGTGGTAGTCATACTAAGAGTTTAGGAATTTGATTAGTATATTGACTTTAGCTTGAAACTGGAGCATATCACTGTATACTACTGACTTAAATACTGTATAAAAAAGTCTTAGCAATATCAAACCAAGCCAAGACAGCTGAGCATGATTTAGAGGCTAAAATCATAACATTATCTCCTCTTTAAGACAATTATCCTCAATAGCTCAGAAGAGCTCTGAAAAAAAGGTGACAGCTTCATCTTCCTATTGATCTCTACTGAGATGTCAATGTCTTGTCTAAGAGAAATGGTTGGACTATGAGTGTCTCTGTCTTAATTTTGTTGGTGTCTTTTCACATGTAAAGCTTTTTGGCTTTGAATAGATGTTGTTTCAGTTCAAAGAGGGGCTTTTGAGTTCTGATGTAGTCTGACTTGTCAAACATCAGTCATCCAAGCCTGACATTGTTCACTACAGCAAGTGGGTTTTGTGCTGCACAGTACTTCACAATAAGCCTTTTCATATGTGGAAGGTCCTTTTTAGCATACCAGTGGTTTTTCTTATTACCATATCCCTTGAAATGGATGAGAAACCACTGTTTTTGATAACAAATTTTTTTGTCAAGGATTGCATCAATTTCATTCATCTTCATCATCTATGACTATTGGTTTGAGTGGTGGTAGCACTCTCTGGTTGGGAACTCTGCCATTCAGAATGGTTTAAGGAGGGTTTTTATTGAAGACAGGATGGATTTTTCATGTCTTTGAGATAGCTAATTCATATGCCCCATTGCCTACTTTCTTCACAATCTTGAAGGGATCTCCAAACTTGTCATCCAACTTCTTCATCTTTCTGTCTATCTTTAGATTCTTCATGTCAAGCATAACTCTGTTGCTTAGCTAGTAGTCTCTCATTAGTGCTCTTCTCTTGTCATACTATCTTTTTAGACTCTGCTGTCTTGTGCAATGCCCATTCAGCCTTATCATGAATTTTCTTCATTTCTGCTGCAGAATCCTTTGTCCAGAGTATTTGGCTGTCTCTTTGTGAGAGGTCCATTCCAGTGTTTGGGTGAGTTCTAGTGTTTATATAGAATAGGCTGTAGTCTGTCAATGAATTTTCATGGTTATTGTAAGCAAATCCTGCTATCAGGAGCCATTCCACTCAGTCATCTTGCCAGTGGTTTATGAAAATCCTGACATACTTTTTAATTTCTTGATTGACCTGCTCTATCTGTCTATCAGTTTGAGAGTGATATGCCATGGAGAGATTCCTAGTGATTCTGAGCAACTTATAAAGTATTTTGATAAACTGTGATATGAAATATAGACCATGATCTGAGATTATTTTATCTGGGAGTTTATGATAGACATACACATGATCTTGGAATAAACAAGCTCAGCCCTCAGCATTCAAAGTCATGTTTGTTGCAATCAGAATTAGTTCTTTGAAAAATCAGTCTACTACTGTTAAGACAGCATCATACTCCTTAGACTCAGGAAGAGGCCCTATCATGTCAACTAAGATTATCTTCCACTTGTCAGAAGAGACTTCATTGGGATGTAGTAGCACTACTGGCTGCTGAGTTCTTAGTTTCACTCTCTGACACATCTCACATCTTTTAATATATGCTTCCACTGACTGCTTGAGACCA